AGCATGTACCTCCAGGAAGCGAGAATGCAGAGTTTCCTCTGTGATGTCAAGCACTTCAGGGTTATAGATGCTGCCATTGTCAAACACCTGCTGGATGATCAGCCCAAAGGAGAAGGGGGAGATGTTCAGCATGTTCAGCAGTGTGGCTTCGCTAGCTCCCACTTTGTCTCCAGTCTTAATCAGCTGCACATCACTCTGAAGAACAAAGTAACAGTTGGCAGTTAACACCTGGACATCCAGCAGGTCTAGGGCAACCAAACCCCCACCCCTGGCCTGGCTAGCACTGGCAAGCCATACCTACTCACCAGGATTTCAATGGTGCCCCTGGAGATTTTAGTGGTGATGCCTAAAGCCTGGAAGAAGGAGGTCTTCTCTGGCCCCAGACCAGTGTTCTGGGCTGGCACAGTGACTTCACATGGGGCTATGGCACCAGCACGGGCAGCAGCTGGCACCTGGACAAATATGAGAACAGTGAGAAGTCTTCTCTTCACAGATACACCTGAGAATGATCAATTTGCTTTTTAAGGAGCCAAAATTAATAAGGTCTCTTTAGCCAACCTGATTCTCCCCTTACCTTGTTGGCCAGCAGCATGTCCCTGATCTCAGTGAGGTCCTCCTTGGTGAACACAAAGCCCACATTCCCCCGGATATGAGGCAACAGTCTGCAAAGATAAGTTTACACAAGACAGTCACATTTCAGCCCATTCTTCTGAAGGAAAAGTGAAAAGGGCACTGAGAAGTGAGAACAAAGATGCCTAGGGGAATCAACTGACTTCTCCAGAGCTGGGTTGTTTTCCAGATGCCCTCGGATAGCCTTGCGCATCATTGTGTTCTTGCCCATCAGCACCACAGCTTTCCCACGAAGAGACATGCGGATCTGCTGCATCTGCTTGGAGCCCACATTGTCTGCTCCCACAATGAAGCATTTCGGATAATCATCCAAAAGTTGCTACAAAAACAAGCCAGAAACAATCAATGTTTAACTGGAAGAAAGCAGAAAAATATCAAGGGAAACCAAATCAGCAGTTTCCATCTCACTCCCTTTCTTCTATGCTTTTGAAGTGACTCACCTATTAGAACAATTCCTCCCACTAGGAGCCACCTAGTTGTAAGTTGGAACCACCTAGTGAGTTGTAACACTGCCAGATTTGTCAAAAACCTGTTTGCTAAATACGAGTGGTGAAAATTAGGTTTCCACATTCAATCAAAAAATTTTAACTTTCATTTTTAATTTTTCCAATTATGGGACTTGTTTCATTTATTTCAAATGGCTACATTAACAAAAAACAACTGTTTCAAATAAGGCTACATTTACAGCATTCAAAAACAACGTAAAACATAACTGAAACGTTACTTGCAGAAGTTAATGTGCGTAAACGATTCTTGTACAATTCTTTTTAGTTTCTTGGGTGTCTGAAAACCTTCACGATAAATAAGGGAAAAGAATAAACTCCACAAAGTATCCTAATGCCTTAAGAGCAATATGGTTAGCACTTCTGAGCAGGGAAGGCTCACCCAAAGGCCATCCAAAAGAAGGCATTGGCTAGACCTTTAGTTTCTTGACTGGCAAGACCTAAATATGCAACAACTTGCCTCTTTATAGGTCACTCATTGCCTCAGACTTTCCCAAAGATGGAGGCAGAGGAGTAGGCGCTTTCTGGAAGCCAGACAGACCTGGGTATAAATGCTGTCATCTTAGGAGCCACTTAACCTGCCTGAGCATGCTTATCTGCAACCAGCGGGTGGGGCATGCAAATCTCGGCAAATTAAGATTAAATGACATTTGCCTAAAATACCCTAAATTAGTAGCTGACACCGAGGGACTGTGCCCGCGGCCGGCCCCGCACTTACGATGATCTTAAGGAAGTAGTTGGACTTCCAGGTCGCCCTGTCTTCCCTGGGCATCACGGCGGTGCGTCAGGGATTGCCACGCAGGGTTTAAAGACGATGTCACTGAGGATAAAGAGGGAGCTCAACCACCCTGACACCCCGCTCCGCCAGGATCCAACCGGAAGTCAGTGCCAAGCAGGCCACACGGGAGAGCCCGCCCGCCCGGCCTGGGGCTGCCGCCACACGGGCAGCTCCGGCCGCCGACGGGGGTCCGGGCCCCCCAAGCCCAGCCTCCTGGCCCCCAAGTCCCCACCAAGATCCCCAAAGACTCCCATCCTTCCCGCCACCGGCTGCCGGCGCTACTATACAGATATGACAAACCTCACACGAGGACGCCTGGCGAGAGAAGGCCGCGCGCCGGCGCGCACCTTTTATATGTGAATGAAGTGTCCAATCAGAAGCCCCGAAATACGCCCCTGCCTACTGGCTAGTGCGGGTGCCTGTCTAGCAAAGCAGATCTGATATGGACAGCCATTGGATGAAACCGCTGCCACTCCAGCCAACGGGAAGCCGCCTTTAAATATGGTTAAGTAAGGCGCGGCCTTCTGTTGGAGGAGGTTTTTCAGAGCTGCTTCCCTCTGCTGGCCTGGAGCTGCTCTCGTGTAGGAACTTGTGCTCGCGCGCTCAGAGAACATGCTTCCTTCCTCCTGCCTCCTGGCCAAGCAAATTAGAGAGTGTGATGTGGAGCTGAGAAATAATTGCACATGCTTTAGAAACAGAATGATCTCGTCTCCTCTACAGTTTGTTCTTCCCCCTACCAAAGTAGAGGGATCCTTTAAAACCTAAGTTGGATCATTACCTTATCTGCTCAATATTCTTCAAAGGCTAGGCTCCCTCCCCATTTCCCTCAGAGAAAAAAACCTAAAACTTAAACTGCCTACAAAGCCCTACATGACTACATGATCTGCTCACCACCTACAACCTATCATCTTATCTCCTATTTTCCTACTACTCATTCCCTTCCAGCCAAACAATGCTCTTTGCTGCTTTTCCAGAGCATGCTCTCGCTTTAAGGCTTTGGCACTAGCTATTCCCTCTTCCTACAAGGCTCTTTGCTGATATCCACACAAGTAACTCACCTCCATCAAGATTTGGCTCAAATATCACCTGTTCAATAGGCCTACCCTGATTGCCCTATTTAAGAGTACCAAAATAAATCCACTCCCTTTACTGTTCTATTTTTTCTATAGCACTTAACACCTAACACATTACATAATTTACTTACTACATTGTTGGGATACTTGCCTTGTGCCTTCAACATAGTAGGTATATAATAAATATTTGTTCAATGAATGCATGCATGCTAGGTTTGCAGTCAGAAGACCAGATCCATATCCTTGGATTAGTTGTGCTATCTCAAGAAGTGATTGCACCTTGCCGACCCTGTTTCCCTTTCCTTATCTGTAAAACGGAGATAATAACATCCATAGTCTAGAGTGGTTATGAGGATTAAATAAAATATATGTTAAGACAACACAGTTCCTGGAATATAGGAGGAAATCACTAAATATTTACTTCTATTATTATGCCTTCATTCAACACTTATTTGAACAATTGTGCTTTATCAATAATCTTTAATGATGGAGCTTAGATCTTGACGTAGAAGGGGTGTTTCTCCCATCATCTCCCTTTTCATGGGACCAATTAGAAATTTCTGTATTTTGTTACAAAGCCTCCCAGTGCCTGTGATTGATCAGCACATTTAGAAAACTGCTGGAATCAATTAACAGCTAAGATCCTTCTTACTGACAGTGCATCACTGCACAATCAGCATTGCACTAAGTACTTTGTACACATTATCATTGCTAATCTTTGCAACAATCCCGAAGTAGAGTATTAGTATTTCTATTTTATCAATGAGAAAATTCACACGGAGTTTATATAATTTGCCCAAGCCCCTCAGGAAATAGTGGCTTCAGAATTGAAATCTAGAAGCAAGTTCAAAGCCCATGTGCCTCACAACGCTATATGGTCCCTTCCAAACCTTGAGCCTATCTCCCCCTAAACACGCTATTCCAACATATACTCACATAGTACCTTTCCAAGGACATCCTGGCTCTGATGATATAAATATCTCTAATTGGAGTACATCAATACAATGGAATAGCATGAGGCTATTAAAAAATTATGTAAATCTATATTTATTGACATGGAAAATAAAGTGCAGTGGAGTGAAAAAGCAAATCACAATGATGGGTACCATATCCATTTCTATAAATAAAATAAGTCTAACATGGGCTGGAAGAATAAAACAAGTCACTTTCTTTGGGTGAGGGTTGAAGCTAATTTTCACTTCTGAGCTCACTATGAAATGGTCTAAGTTCAAACTAAAATTCAGCAAGCTATTTTTGGAGAACATTTTGTTTTTCCCATTCCAAACAATAGGAAAAGTGTTTGAAGCCTCAGCTCAAGGGGAAACAAAGCAGTCCAGCAACCTCCCTGGGTGTCTCCGAGCTCTGGCTATGAGAAGAGCCAAGGAGGAAGCACGCAAATATGGACAGGACCACCAGGGAGCAGTAGAGACCTACCGTCAAGTGCAAGTCCCCCACCTTCAGCGGGGAAGATTCTGTACCCAAGGTGTGCCGGCCAGCACGTTGGGGTGGGTAGTGGTGTCTGGTCTACACAGAAACAGGTAGAGGCAAGCCCTGCCTGTTCACATTCTGTCTCTGCACTCAGAGGATTGCCTTGTGCGTGTCAGTCCTCCTATTTAAACCCCTTTCCCTGTCTGCAGAGAGGTGTAAGGCCACCCACAAGTCCATGTGAGTGAGAACACCATTATCCAACCTCCGGCAAAGCACCCAGGGTGGGTCCTGACTCACACAGGCCCCAATAATGCTGCTCCCTAGCCTTCCCTTACCAACTGCCAAGGAAAGGGCAAAGCTCATATGGGGCCTGTGGCCACAGATAAGCATCTGTGAGGCAGGGAATCCATCCCAAAGGCATTCAATCCCACGGATAAGCATCTGTGAGGCAGGGAATCCATACCATTGACATTCGAATGGAGAATGTCAATGAATTACTCTCCAACTGTGGCCCTTGTTGAGTCTGGGGTGGGTTTGGTCTCTCTTCTGGACCAGTTGTCCCTCAGATCACAAAGAAAAGGCACCAGCACAGGTGAAAATAATGGCAAACTTTATTGGCATAAATCACAGGGATTGAAATGGGGGAAAGCCAAGTTAGAAGTTTACAGAGAAAAAAAAATTAAAATCAAATCATCAAATAATCATTGACCCAGAGGGTGGACCCCAGAAACCCCAGTTACTCTAGAGGAGGGGCTTGGGGCAGGTCACTGTAAACAGAGCAATAAGGCCTATGGGTAGAAGTGGAGACATCAGGTCTTTGGAGGGGACTGGCTGACCTCCCCAGACCTGGGCTGCTCCCAGCCCTGCCATGATGGAGGGACCCTCTTCTGAGACCCCAGTGCATTCCGCTTCTGTTGTGAAGACAGCAGGATGGTCTGGATCTTCTCTCTTTAGACCCCACTGGGGCTCCTTCCCGCTGAGTAAACCCCAGGCCAGCCTGCTATTTCCGCTTGGGGAGAGCTCTGGGAGCTTCCCATTGCTTCCGAAGGCTCCTGTCCCTCTGCCCAGAGTCCTACCAGGCCCCCACCTTGCAACAACCTGGGCCTTTCTCCCCAGACCTCCAGTCTCCAGGGAAAGCAGGAAATTTGGGAGGTGATGCACCCAGTGGGAATCAACATGGTCAAAATCAAACACCAGCTTTCCTGAGAAGGCAGAAGAGCCCCAGAGAAGTGGTGAGGAGGCCGAGTATGTTCAGTGCATTCTCTTTGTTGCCAGGAAGTTCACAGGGGAGCAGATGCTCCTAATGGCTTAGACAGGAAGCAGCACCCCAAAGTGCACTTTCCCTTTCTCCTCCCTCAGGAACGGGATGGATGAGGTTCAGAATGAGGTTCAGAATCGTAGGCCCCAAAGGGCAAGATACCCTTAGGCCAGTTTCAGTTCAGAGCTTGCTGGCCTGGGTAGTTAAGGAAGGGCTTTCAAAATACAGCAGTTTATAAAATCGTCCTGGTGAGCTGTGAAGTTAAAGGGGAGTCACAGAGCTGCTCCGAGTTCACCTGCTTGTGCTAAGAAAAAATAAAATACAAATTGCTTCCCCACCCCAAGCCCTTAGTACAAGGCAAACCCCATCCACAGCCACTGTCACCAAGAAGACCAGTGGCAGTGGAAAAGGAGGAAGTACAAAAGGGGCCTTTAAAATCTTGTCAAAATTATTTTGTATAGAGAGTAAAAGCATCACAGATAGTATGAATTCAAACCTCGGTGTAGAAATCTACCAAAGTTGGTACAGTGTCCAGGCTCAGGGTGAAACCCCCCACCTCACACCATCCCTGGAGACGGAGGAAGTGATTATAAAATGTTATTGCTGGAGAGGCCTTTCTCAGTAGAACCAGAGCAGTTATGGGGGGCCAGTGAGGGGCAGTCACCCAGGCCTGGGGAGACCAGAGGGTGGGAGGAGCTCATGGAGCTTCCATGACCCCTGGGGCACATCTGCCCCTGGATGGAGGGTTTATGCTGGCATTTTCTGGAGGGGTCTGGGTATCCCTCAGAATGAGGATAATTATGTCAGGAGGAAATAAGATTAAAAAGAGACCCTCTGCCCTACCTGCCTCCCCTCTGGCTCCAATGCCGAAATACAAGTGAGAGAAGGCTCCAGTGCGGGGTGCTGGCCTGGCCAGGAGGGTTTGTGGGGACACACGTGGGGTGGGCTGGGGCCCTCCAGCCTCCACCTCTGGGGAGGAGGAGGAGCTGGCAGCCTGGCAGAGTTGCAGAGGAGGAAGGAGGCCGAGAAGCTCTGGCATGGGAAGAAAAGCGGTGGGACCCCTCACGGCCCTCTTCATCCTGCACCAACTGAGGACATCCCAGTTCCAGTCGGGTCTGCCCCTTCGCCCCTGGGTGAGGCCTCTGGGTCACAGTAGCAGTTAGGGAGACTGGGCCAGAGAAGGGGAGGCGACAAAGGGACGAGGTCACCTAGCAAAAGAGCTTGAGGAAGCAGTTCTGACAGTAAGGCTTGTCGTTCTGCTCCTTGAAGGTGCCCTTGTTGAGCTGCTTGAGGCAGAAGGCACAGACAAAATGCTCCGGGTGGAACTTCTTGGCCATGGCGGTAATGCAGCGGCCTGTGATGGGCTTCTGGCAGCCGGAGCACAGCGAGCCCCTCCGCTCATGATAGTGCACCTCACAGTAGGGCTGCCCGTCGTGCTCAAAGAAGCTGCCGTTGACAAAAGGTGTGAAGCATTCCTGCCAGGCAGAAGTGAGGGTGGGAAGAGGCAGGGGGCTCAGGCTGGGGCGGGGGCCCAGGCAGCTCCCAGCTTGATGGGCAGGAGACAGTCAAGGTAATGACTCCCACTTGTTAAGCATTTCCTATGTACCAAGTGTCACATTAAACACTTGTTGAATCGCATCTCCACCTTCTGGCTAAGATCAAGTGTTAACACTTGTTGAATTCTCACAGTAAAGGAGGCAACTGAGGCACAGAAGTGAACTGACTTGTGCAAGGTCACACAGCTATTAAGGTGCACAGCCTGGATTCAAACACAGGTCTAACTGCTGGGCACTTAACCAGGTGGCTGTAACAGTGTGCCCAGAAACCCACAAGCACACTTAGGTATAAAAGGCTCTGAGAACTCCTGCAGTCAACAGTGTTTCCCAAACTTACCTGGTCAGAAAGCCCTTGCTGGATCACTAATAATTTAATCTGTGGGCTCCCATTACCCCCAGAATGCGGTTTGGAGACCAATTTCCATTGAGACTGCTAAATGTTTGCATTATCTCATTTAATTCTCATACACCCTTCCACTGAGTGTGACCAGTCCCAGGGCCATTGCACAGGGTGAGGCTAGGGGACACATCTACCTTGCTTTTGGTTTCTCCCAGCCTCAGTATGAGCGTGCCCTGGCCCAGGATCCACTGGCCTTGAGGAAGCATACCCCTGCCTGCTTGCCCCATGAATAAGGACACATGACAGTTCCAAGTTGGACCCAGAGAGCACAACAAGGGAGGCCCCTCTCCCCCCACTGCCCGCTCCCGGTCCCCTCCAGATACAGGGTCAGGGGTGGAGGGTGCTCCTTACCCGGCACACAAAGCACTCAGGGTGCCAGAGGGTGTTGAGGGCCGAAATGTAGTTCTCCAAGATGGCCCGGGCACAGCCGCCACATTTGGGGGCAAACATGTCAAAGTAATCCTTCCGGCAGTAGGCCTTGCCATCTTTCTCATGGAACCCTGAGGAGCAGCGGTTTGGGGGGCAGAGTCATGCTCTCCAGAGGGGGCAGCCCTGATTCCAGCATGAGCCAAGTCTCCCACCCCACCTCCCCAGCACGCCCAGGGGGCAGCGAGTTCATCTCAGTACCTTCGGGACCAAAGAAGGCTCCACACTGGGCACAGAAGAAGTGCTCAGGGTGCCACGTTCGGTCAAGGGCTGTCACCACTTTCTGTAAAGGCAAAGTGGGAGATCAGGGCCGAGCTGCCACACCCCTGGACAGATACCACAGCTGAGACTCGGGCAAGGCCGTCCTTCCACCACTAACCCCACCCAGCTCCCCACCAAGGGAAAAGCAAAATATCTCTAAGATCAGATTTTCTCCCAATTGTGCTCTGAATTCCACTGTGAATTCTGTTGTATTGAAGGATGTGACGTGCCAGAGCCCCCTCTCTCCCTTAATCTTCATGTGTGGTCAAGGTCACAGGTTCTACAGTGACTCCCACTGTACAAGTGAAGAACTGTAGGCTCAGAGAGGCTAGGTATTTCCCTAACATTACACAGCAGGAAGGTGAGCACTCTACTTCATTTATCAGGGGAGGGCTCCCAACCTCTGGGAGTCTCCATAGAAGGAGTCTGGGATGGTGAGTGGAGGGGGCCAAGCATTGAGCCTGGTTTGAAATCCAGCCCCACAGTTTTCTAGCCGTGTGAGCTGAGCATGAGACAGGACCTCTCTGAGCCTCAGATGGCCCCACCTGCATCCTCAGAGGGTTACAGAAGATGGTATGAGCCGATGTGGCTGCTCCTCCACACCATGCCCCAGAACTTACATCCAGAATAGGGCCATTGCAGTAGTAGCAGCGTGGAGAGAAGAGGTTGTGATAGTCCTTTTCACAGTAGGGCTGTCCATCCCTCTCAAAGAAGTTCCGGGATCCAATCTCCTCCTGGCAGTGGGTGCAGACGAAATGCTCTGGGTGCCACGTCTTCCCCATGGCGGTCACAACCTGCAGACGGAGGTGGAATGTGGCTCAGGGCCCTGGCCTGCCACAGAGCAGCAAAGGTCCTATCCACCTGCCACACCTCCCCGCCCCACCTCCACTTCTCATCACCTGCCCAGCAATGGGCTTCTTGCAGGCCCCGCAGACACCCTTGGCAACTGTGGCAACACCCAATTTGTTCAGGTCAGACTGCAGGCTCCCCAGCATGCTATCTAGCTGGCTCCCGGGCTTTGGGGGCCCTTCTGGGGGAGAGCTGCTCCCCGTCTTCCCCTGGGCCATGAACTGTGGAGAAAGAGAGAAAGGGTTTGTCAGGGCATCCAGGGCTAGGGGATGGCACCCCACGGCACTGGGGGCTTTTCTCCCTCCTGGACAGGTGGGCTCGCTGAGGGAAGAAGTTCAACCTCCTCTGGGGCCTCACAAGCCCTAAAGCAGAGACAGGCATCCACAAGAGGTCCTGGGGGCCAGAGGGGCTCACAGCACCCTGCAGGCTTGACCAGGGCCCAGGAAAACACAGCAAACAGGTCACTAAGCCCTCGGCCTAGGCACTGACCCCTCCCTGGTCCTGCCCTTCGGGACTGCTCTGCCTGCCGTTCGGAGACCATCTGGCTGCCCCACACAGCTCCCCATCCACTCTTTGTTCCAGACCATGGATCTTGGATAGGAGAGGGAACAAGAACAAGAAAAAAATTTTTAATTAAGGAAGAAAGAGAGACCTTGTAATTAGACCATTTTATAAGAGGAAATTTAGGATGGGATAAGAGGGTTTCCCCCCACCAGCAGTATCAAAATCAGGAGGAAATGTCCAGAGAAAAACAGTGTTGAGAGAGGCCAAAGGAGAGATGAGAGGAAGAGGGAGGTGAGCCAACCAAAAGTTCAGGACACAGGAAAGCAGGACAGGGAGGTGGCTGGGGCCAGAGAGCAGAGGCCTCCCCGGAACTGGGCCTCGGGCTGGAGGCGGGGGGACAGGTTTGGTTTCCCTTCTGGGAATGGCTTCCTCAGCAGAGTCTGGGGCAGGACCAACAGGTGGCAGGACAGGGCAGGCAGAGGGAGCCCCACAGGAAAGCAAGAGGACAGCTGATGTCCCAGGGGTGGGAGACCGGACACCAGGTTAAGTGAGGGTCCAGGGTCAAGGCCAAGTCTAAGGAAGGACTGTGGTGCCGTGCTGGGCTTGTGTGCAGAGGGACACAATGTGTGTATGCATGTGTGCGTATACGTGTGTGCAAGGTGGGGACACACTTGGGCAGCAGGATGGGGACAGGTAGGGGCCCCAGGCAGCCTGCCTGCATCGAGGAGAAGAGCGGGTCCTCGTCAGTCTGGCAGCTCACGGACCTCAGAGTGTGGGGTGCAGGGGCAGGAGGGATCGGGCCCTGCATGCCCTCTTCCTGCAGTACCCCCCTAGCACTCTGGAGCCTAAGGGAACCCTGAGGGAGAGCTGGGGGCCCCAGGACCCAAGGGGCAGCTGGGGGAGAAGAGCTGCTGGCCGAGGAGTCTTTTCGATGCTGGAGCAATGGGACAGGAGGAGAAGGAGGAGCCAGAACAGAGACGGTTCTTCTCAGAGGAATGGGAGAGCCAGGAGGGAAGACAACCTGGGGAGAGGAGAGGAGGGAGAGAGATGAAGACTACAGGGGAAAGCCAGCGCAGAGAGCAGGGCACAGAAGGGCGAGACGGGCCTTCCCACTCCAGCACCAAGAGTGGGCCAGCCTCACAAGGCCACAGGATGCCCCCCCCACATACATCTCCCCCTCAGCCAGGGGAGATTCGGGACACCTGCCATCCTGGCCCAGCCCCAGCATCTCCTCGCTACCTTCTCTACAAGCTGCCCCCCTGCCCGCCTCCCGCACGGCTGCACAGTGATGACGACGCCCTCGGTCAGCCAGTCCTCTGCAGAGGCCCCCACTGCCTCCTCCTCCTCTGGCTGGATGCCCAGCCGACCCTGCAGCTCTGCGATGAGCCGCTCCTGGGACGGAGTCCTGCTCAGGGTGGCGGGGTCCAGCCGGCGGCGAGGGGAGGGCTCCCGGGACATGGGGTGTGCGTGGCCCGTCTCCCGGCTCCTCCTGATCACGGATCGGATCTGAGGGTGAGGGGAGGCTGTTACAGGCCCACTCTGGGCTCCCCGGAGATGCTCAGTCCACACTCAGATGCACAGGGAAAGGGAGGGCAGAACAAAACTGCCAGAGCAGAGCCAAGCTGCGAGGGGCAGGAAGCGGGGGGCAGTCAGACCCTTCCACCGCGTGTCTGGCTGACCTTGGGCAAGACACTTCATTTCCAGGGGCCTCAGCTTCTCCCTCCTTGAAATGGAGTGGAAGTATCTTCCTGGTTGCTTTACAGGGTTATTACAAGAATAACTTGAAAGGATGTAAGTGGACATTCTGGAAAGGAAGGGCATAAGGCTTTTCTTTCTGTTTTTGATTTGTAACAGAAAATGTGGTCCTTCTTTCTAGTAAATCTTTTAGGTAGATTATTTTTCTTTACACTATCACTGGCTTTGGGTTTTTTTGTTGTTTATTTTTAATGTTTTACTTTTAATTGATTTTAATTAAGCAAGAAGCAAATAATAATGGTAACATCAGCCAGGGCTTATTAAAGCTCCTGGTAAAGCCCCTGGTCTAAGCACTTTCTAGGCATTATCTCATTTAATTCTCTAGACAGCCTTGAGGGAAGTGGCCATTACCACCCCCATTTAAAAGATGAGAAAACTGAGGTTGTTGGGGGTTGCCCAAGGTCACACAGGTAGCAAGTGTTGGAGGTGTGGTTTGTATTCAGTTCTACCTAGTTCCAAAGCCCATGCTTTTAAACCATTTCACGTACATTAATTACATTACGATGTTGGGGGCAGCTCATCTAAAGGAAAAAGCCTTAAACAAGCAAGAGGCCATTGCCATTAAAAGAAATGTCATGGCCCAGGGAGCCCCACTGGCCCCAGAAAGCCCATTTCTGAGTATTGGTCATCAGGGTCACAGGCCATGGTAGCTCAGGACTTGCGGCCCAAGCAGACATGCACAAAGTGGGAGACTGCATGCGGTTAGCCAGGAGCGGCCCACACTTAGGCCTGCTGAGGGCCATGCCTAGCAGCTGTGCTAGCTTGTGCCTGCCTGGCCAGAGGTGGAAATCCTCTCAGTGGTGTTGGGTGTGTCCATGACCATGGCATGTGGAAGCTCCGACTGTTCCTTCCTGGTCCCAGCAGCAGCTTCGGTGGCGCCCTCTGGCCTCCAGGGGGTCTCAGGTCCCTGGGTAGGCCTGACCAGACTTCCCCTCATGGGCATCTTTCCACCTAACTGCTCCTCATCTACTGGGGCAGGGCAGCTGCTTTCCAGCTCCCCTGGCTCTGCCTTTGCCCTCTCCCGCTGTCCATGGTCCTTCAGGAGACTGCAGGTATCTGGGAAGATGGCCTGACGGCCCGCGGCCACAGCAGCAGACTCAGTTACTTCCTGGAAGCTAGATGCAGCTCCACAGGGAGTCTGGCGCCTGAGTACCTCCAAAGTCCATGGCTGCTCCCACGTGCTGGCTGTGGCCTCCTCTAGGTACAAAGGGTTGGCTACCAGCCCTTGGGGCTCTCCAGACTCCTGGGGACCCATGCCCCCAGCTTGGGGTTGAACGTGGCAGCAGGGAGTCCTGGAGAGCTCACTCATGAAGTTTGGTAGGTCTTTCCAAACTTGAGCCTGGCTCTCTGCACCAAATGGTCCTAGAGAACCCACCGCAGAGAGAGCCCTTGCATTGGAAGTGGCAGGTATCACTCCAAGACCAGCCAAATTAAGCCAACTGGGGGCCACAGGAGGTAGGAAGCCCTGTTCATTACTGTCCTCCATGCAGGGGACATCCAAGGTGTGACCAAGGCCTTGAGAAGAGGGTGTAGAGGTGTATGGCAAGATAACAGAGGGCCCAGGAGGAGGAGGAGAAGGGGAAGGAAGTACATGGTGCAAAGATGGAGCTGAGGTGGGCAGGGAACTCAAGGCCACAGCAGAGGAATTGGTCTAGAGAAGGAGAAAGACAAAAAGCAGACGAGAGAGAAGAGAGATGGGAGAGGTGAGGACAGAAGCTCACTGCAAGGGGCGGGCTCAGCCTCAGGGCTCTGAGAGCCACCAACTACACTGACCAGGGGCTGTCAAGCTGAAGCATGAGGACTGGCCCACGAAGGAGACCCAGACCCCAAAATGGTTTTCTTGGGCTGTACGTCATGGCCCCAGTCAAACCCAGGAGGCAAAAGGCAGCCACTAAGCCAAGCCTGTGGGCCCACCCAAGTCAGAGCAGGTATGAAAGAGAAAAGGCTAAAGTGAGGGGCACCGTGGGGAGAGAGGTGACCAGGGATGCCACCCCAGCACCAGCTGAGGGAGAGTCAGCCACAGGCAGCGGCTCCACCTCCTCCACCCTTGGCTCAACTCACTGTTGCCCCAGACAGTGCCAGCTCTCCTGCGTCGCCCAAGACCTCACTCTGGAGCACAGCAGAGACCAGTGCAGCTTGTCTGGCGCTACTGACTTGCCTCTGACCCTGGCTGCTCAGAACCAGCCCACATGAGGGCCACAGGCCCAGGCTGCTTCCATCCCCCACTGTGAAACCCCAGCTGAAGGGAAGCTTGGAGCTCCCAGGTCACTGGGCACAGGGCCAGGAGCTCACAAATACTCGCTCCCCTTCTCAGATCCCCTAAGTCATGCCCCAAAGGTCTGGGCTGACCCACACAGAAGGGGGAAGTCAGCAGCTGCCGCAGAGTTCAGTCAGTTTCAATCCCCATCAAAGTACTGCATCTGCTAAATCAAACCTCCCGGGCCTGGCAGGCCTGGGGGGCCAGAGGAAAGGAAAGGACTCATGCAGGACTGGCCCAGTGGCCTGGGGGTTGGATTCCCACTGATAGAACTTGTGTCGACTAAGGGGCCTGTGAAGTGACGGGGGAAGGATAGAAGGAGGCTGTGGATTCAGGAGCCAGGGACAGGAAAAAAAGAGGACATGTTGAGAATAGCAAGCGTGGGAGATGGAGCACCAAGGCAAATGACCTCTCAAGCACAGGATCCCAAGTCCCACAGAACCCAGGGAGAACACCCGCCCCTGCCAAGGACAGCCATCAACACAGAGGCCTTTGTCCCAGCCTCCTGACCCCCTGCCTGGGTGGCTGGGGGCTGAGAGCACCCAGGAAGGAAGGAATGTCCCTGCTAAGCATTTCTCTGCCTTCACAGGCTGTGGGCAGCTCAGTCCCTACAGACCTGGTGTGGCCCTCCCGCCCCTGTATCCTGGCAAGTCCCAGGCACTAAAGGGTCAGTCCCCAGCTCCAGGCAAGGCATCCTAACACCGAGGGGCTGAGTTCCACCTACTCACACTGATATATAGGAGGAGAAGAATGGCGGAACCTGAGGGGGCAGAGCAGGGCAGGGAAGAGGAGAGGTCTCAGGGCACCTTAAAATCTGACAGCGAAGCCATCAGCTCGTCCAGCTCCCTGGTGGCAGAGGAGGCGGAGATGCGCGTCTGCTGCTGGCTGGCAGTGACTCGCTGAGGGCTGCCCATCTCGCCCTGGTTCACAGTGATGGCAGGGCTGCAAGGCAGGCACAGCATCAGCTGAGGCCCCGGGAGTCCAGCCACCATGCTACCCCAGAGTGGCCCTCCCCTCCTTAGCGGACCCACACTTCAGCTCCAACATTAGAGTCCTACCACCTGCAACCCAGGGAAGCCCACTGGCTCCCAGTCTCTCCTGGGGACCCATAATCAGGAGGGAGCTGCTGTCAGCTAAGGGGACAGAACTCCAGGGTAAGCTGATGGGAGAGAACAGAGGGCAGCTCAAATGGCACCTTTCCCGGGATGACAACTCTGGCCCTTCTAGCCCAGTTCAAGCTTGCCTGTTAAACAAGCCGGGGCAGCCATGGGTCTCCCACAACACTGTAGGTACACAAGATTATTCCAACACGGCCACACTGAGAAGAGCTCACAGTTAGTGAGCACTTACCACGTGTACCGTGTGTTATGAGCCAGAAAACATTCCAAGTGTTTTACCTGTATTATTGGGTCTCACCCCTCCTGAAGTAGACAGTCTTGTCCCCTTTAGCCCACATCCCATATCCTATTTTACAGAAGGAAAAGCTGAGGCTTGAGAGCCAACACTTGGTAAGTACAGATTCAAGATCCGAGCCCTGCGGTGCTGCTCCAAAGCCTGTGCTGACAGCCACTAAGCTACAGGCGCCCTCAGCTGGTAATGGCAGCTTTTCCTGATGGATGGTAGCTCACTGAAGGCAGGAAAGGTATCCACGCAATTCATCACCATCCCCCCAGTGCCAGGTGCAGGGCCTGGCAAACAGGCACTCGCAGGAGGACTGGGTGACACTGGGGCCAAGGGAACGGACACTAGGGACAGGTGCTGGTGGGCGAGCCTGGTGGATACTCACACAGGGCTGGGCACGGAACTCTCCAGCTCATCCAGGAGACTCTCCACTCTGGGCCGCACGTCCTCCAGGCCCCGGCCCCCATTCCGCTTGGGCTTCTCTTTTGTCAGGGGCCCGGCTTTACCCGCCAGAGGGCTGTTACTCTCAGGGATGCCATAGTGGGGGCTCAGAGCTCCAGGGAGTGGGGGGCTTGAGTTGTCCTCATCTTAGAAGAGGGAGAGAGAAAGGCTGTTTGGCCCTGAACCTTCCGGGAATCCAGAGGACAGCAGATGGGCTGGGGTTCTGGAAGGCCCCTGCCCCAGGGACCCAGTCCTACCTATGGGGAAGCCTGGGGGATTGTGCTGCACAGCGTTCAGTTCCAGCAGCAGGCGGTCGAGTTCAGAAAGGTTGCTGCCCAGGGAGGAGCTCATCACAGTGGGAGAAGGCTCAGCTGACTTCTGCTTATTGGGGAAGCTTTGAAAGCCAAAGGGAAGACCAAAGTGAGAGGCGCTCCCCAGCTTGGCAGCCCCCAGATTCTCTAGGAGGATAAGGCAGAGAAGATATGAAGTCTCCCCCAGACAGAGAGTGGGAAATGGAGGTGGTGAGAAGAGGGAGGAAGGAAGTCTTGCCTCAGATCTTCTCTACACGGGGTGACATGGCAGCCCAGCCCAGCCCAGCCCAGCCCAGCCCAGCCCAGCGGCTGTGTGGAGATGGCAGCGATAAGGCTGTAAGACTAGCCCGCCCGCCAGTCAGAGAGGCACTGAGAGCTGGCCAGGAGCCCTCCTGAGGCAGAACTCCCACAGGCCATTGCCACAGCTGAGCCCTGGCCTCAGCTGCCTCCAGGCCCTGCAGTCCCCAGGATTCCCAAACAGGAGGAGCAGGTGCTGGGGGAAGGCCGGGCTGTACCTGTAAACGTGCTCTTCTTCACCGGCGTGGGGGCGCGGAGGGCCAAGGCTGTCCGGGGGGACGGAGGCACTGGAAGTCTTGGCACTAGAGCTGTACACAGGTGACGGGGACTGAGGCTGCAGGAAAGAGAGTGCTCAGAGCCTCCTTGGGGAGGAAAAGGAACAGCCCGAGTCACCCCCAGGAGGCTCCTGCTCACAGCTGGTCTCATCAGGGAATTTCCACACTCTGGCCAAAAGACAGGTGATTAACACTTGGTCATTGGCCCCCTCACGTGGCTTCTGGTGGAGAAAACTGGACATTTCCTAGACTCTCTCCCCATTTCCCTGATCCCATTTCTCTTCTGGCTTCCCAGGCCACTTCCAGACAAGTTCCTTTTGTCCCAAAGCCTCAGTCCCCTGTCTTCCTGGCCCCTGGCCCCACCTTACCTGCTGGTGGACGAATCGGGAGTTGCTGGGCTGCCACTGGTCTAAGGGGTCAAGGACCGTGCCATTGAGGGCCTCACTGGACGGGGGTGGAGGGACAGGGGGTGGCACGACAATCTCCTGGTATGTGTGGTTTCCAGTTGGATATGAATAGGGGGTCTCCTCAGACAAGAAGACAGGCCGTTTGGAGATGTGGGAGGTGGTGGACTCCAAGTCCGCCAGCAAGGCGTCTGCAGAGAGAAGGAGCAGGGAGCTGGTAAGACCAGGGAACTAACTCTCCAATAACTGAGCTCCCTGCCTGCACCCAGGAGTTAGTGACTTCTGAGCACCTGCCCCGCCCATGGTAGAAATGACCAGCCTTGGGTCACAGAGATGCCAGGCCAGAAGAGCCTGGCTAAGAACCAGCTCCCACAGTTCACCTCTTCTCCCCAGCCCAAGACTAAAGGTACTCTGGAGGCTCGGGGCTGCCCTTGGGGCTCTCCTACCTCTTGGAGTCAGGCACCTACTTTCCCTCCGGACGGGGCTCTGCAGCTGGCTGGCTAGGAGTCAGAAATGCCTGCCTGGAACTCACACGGTGACTCCGCAGGGCAAGGCGGAGAGATCGGGTGGGCGGGAGGGGCCCCACGTCATGGGGAGGGGCCAGGGTAGTGCCAGGTCCCACTTAATCTTCAGGAGCCTAGGTTTTCTCAGACTGGAGAGGCCTCTGGAGTGGCCCCTGCCTTCCTGATCAGGTAGAAGCTGAACTCCCCGCTCCAAGCTCTTCCTGAGGCTCCGGGATACAGGGTGAGGTGTGTGAGGAGGTGGGGGCTGGGCCAAGGCTGGTGCAGTGTTCCCCACCCTCTTGGCCAAGCAGGGGGCAGGAATGCTCTGTAGGCTGTTTCTGCAGAATCCTGGCAAGCAGCCTGGCCCCAGAGGCTCCAGGGCCCCACTATTCTGCTTTTAACAGCAGCAAGGGAGCCGAATCAGCCCTCGAGTGCAAGCTTCCATTACCCCTGCAGTGGACAGCCAAGGGGCCTGGATCTCCCCAGTCTACAGACAGGGTACAGCTAGAGGGGCAGGGGCAGGAACTGCCACACCCACACACCCACACCCCTACCCCACGTCAGCCCTCCCGTCCTAGGACCACAACAGCTCTGCCGCCCAGAGAGCCTGTCTCACACACCACACCCTCATCCTGCTGTGCTCACAGACTTGCTCACTCTCACCTCCCTGGTGACCTGCTGGGGCTCAGGGAATGCTCAGGCCTTGGCCCTTGGGACAATACCCATCAGAAAGCAATGGCTGCATTTATGGCCATTTACCAGTAGCAGTCATTGTGCTTGGCCCTGGTATTCATGGTCTCTCAGTTTATCTCCCCAATACCTCATGAAGTTGGAATTCTGATCCTCCCTTTACAGATGTAGAAACAGGCTTTGAGAGATGGTGGAACTTGCCCTAGATAACAGAGCAAGTGAGTGACAGGACTATCTGACTCCTCAGAAGCCTCAAACCCCAAAAATCTGGCCTGCATGAGTCTGCTGTGATCACAAAATGATGTCATATTTAAACGGTACAACTTCCTGAATGTAGGGGCCCAAGCTCAGAGAGCTGCCAGTCTGATCCTTCCTTGTGGCCCTGTCCCCAATCCTACCCCTGCTTGGCAGAGGGAAACAAGACCCTCCCCCAGGGCCTTGGTGTGGGCCCACACCTCCCAGTTGCCTTCCCTGTGCTCCTACCCACAAAGCCAGCCATACCTACCCCCAGCTCCTACCCAGCTGGTCAGAGGGGAAGCTGGCTGCAAAGCCCAGGCCCCAGGGGCCAGTAGCCCAGCACAGATCTCCTGACTTCCAATTAAGGTCAGCTCCTGCAGCCCCTCCCCTTCCAGGTCCTTTGGAAGAGTCTAGCTTCCTGTCCCTAGCAAACCGAAACTAGAGGGAGTCAGCGCTTATCTAGGTAACGGCGGAAAAGGAATGACTGTCCAGAGCCAATCCCAGTGGCCTCTTCATGGCCACACCTGCTGCCTTGCTTCACGTAGCAGCACCGTTTCTTCAGGGCTCAATCTGCCAGGGGCTGAGTCTCTCTTTCTCCACAACATGCAGAGCTAGCTGGGAAACCCCACAGGGCTCCCCATTGCAGGTAACAAATGCACCCCAGGTAGGGACTACAGGAGCAGCTGCCGCATGTGAATGCCCACCCGTGTGAGAGTAGCCTGTGTCACCTCCCTTCCTCCTCCCAACACCACCAGCATGGATAGCAACGCTAAGGTTCAGAGAGGCAGAGTCACGTCCCTGTGCTGCCAAAGCTGGCCGAAGTGACGCAGCTGAGATCTGAACTCATGTCTCTCAGGCTCCAAACACCCAATAGAAGCTAGGTGATTGACCTATCCCATCAAACTGCCTGAGTCAGGAACTCCACTGTCCCCTGCACTAAATACCCTCTCCCCTCACTCAAGACCTGACTGTAAGTCTGGCTTATTGGTTTATAGATTGGATTCTGGTTTATGACTTCAGCAGGCTCTTTTCAACCCAGATATATCTGTTGGTTGGAAGGAGAAGTCCTAGGGCATGAAGACAAAAGATTATAAGTTCTGGACTTGAGCCAGAGCTGAGTTCAAGTTCCAGCATCTCTGTTTACTATCCACGGCCACATAGAAACAGCTTGGCTTCTCTGAGCCTCAGCTTCCTCAGTAAGCTGGGGTTCACAATTCCTACCTACCACCTTCTGTGAAGTTTACATGGGATAGCAGATAGCAGTCCTATCCCCAGTGCATGGGAAGCTGCAAACATAAGATCTTATTTGCTTTGTGAAATTCAGAAAAAGATTTTCCTTCAAGGAGATCAGGGTGGGACTTCTCCTAAGTCTTCTGTGGGTAGAATCTGGGTAGGACATGAAAAAGGCAACCTTGGTAAGATAAGCAAAATAAAGTAACATTCAAAGTGAAATGTGTAGATGGATGTCGGGGAGAGGAGAAGGCACATCATTTTCCAAACGTGTGTCCATCTGAACGAGAGTGAGGGCCTACACAGGCACAGGGTCTCTGGTATAGCTTCCTCCTCTCTCTCTGAGTCTTTGCTAAATGACTGGACAGGACTTGGTGTCACTATCTCCCAAAACCCCCCCAAACACCTCAGGGAAGATAGGAATATAGGTGGCAGCCAAGGAGTGCACTCTGGCCTCTACTCTGGGTTCCTATGGGTACAAAAGCCTGCTATCTCCCCACAGGCTACAAAATGGTTACCAAAGTGTCCTTTGGTAACCGAAGGCCAAAGCCTCCTCCCTTGCTCAGCAAACTCGTCCTTTGCTTGAGTAAACAGACAGCAGATGGAAGACTGCACAAAGAAGGCTACTTGCAGGCAGCGCCCTATGGGCAGCCAGTTTCCAGCTACAGCTACAGCCTGGCACCCCTTCTGAATACCCTAGACCACCAGGCTGACAGTCCTTCTAGTCATACCCAAAGAAGGTACAGAGCAAATGCCATGGGAATACACCCTTTCCCCACCATTTCCTCCGCATCTCTCCACCATGTTTCTGGGTCCAGGCCTGAGACCCTTGGGCGAGTGAGAGCCACTAGAACCACCCAAGTCACCCTGTGGAAAGAAGCTCTCCCTGAAGCTCCCCAACTCTTCTCTGGAGGAAACCATCCTAGACTCTACAGGCTTTTTGCTTCTCTGGACCAGCTGATGCAGGCCCTGGCGCTTCCATCCATAGAAGAGCGAAAGCTGAGGTCTCTGGGTGAGGCCATCCAACGTGTGTGTGAAGGGGAGGGGTTCTGTTTAGGAAGGTGGGGAGAGGGCGACGGCAGGCTGGGTGCAGTCTCCAGCGCACCAGAGGTAAAGGCCACCCAGCTACGCCCTGTTGGCGAAGGGGGCCCGCTTCCCGCCAGAGGGCACTGTTGGCCCATCGGCTCCCTGCCGCCGGGAGTAACCGAAAATAACCTCGCGCAATCACAGTTCGAGTCAGGGAAGACCGGGGAAAACCCGGTAGCCCCCGGCCATGGGTGCAGAAATTTCAATCCCCAGAAAGCTCAGCTGAGCTGGAGGGGCACAGCAGCTTACGAGGAGGGGCACGAGGTGGCCTAAGCGCCAAACTTCCTTCTCTGGCTGGAGCAATCATTTGAAGGCGCGACCCGAGAGTGACGCAGCCTTTGGGGTTCCGGAGACCCACGGGACGCCAGCCCTTCACAGATGCAGCGCCCGCAGGCGCCAGGGCAGACGCAGCCGTTCGGATCAGCAGCGGCGGCTCCCTGCCAGGAGGACACCCGGGAACTGGAGCTGGGCGAGCACAGCACACGCGGACCAGCCCCAGGCTAAGAGGCCCTTCCCTGGGCCCCAGCGACCCGGCAAGCTTAATCCTGAGGGTTTGGGTAGGAGCAGCCCCCCAGGGGTTAAAATGCAGGCATCCTGGCTGGCTGCCCCGAGAGGGAGGGGACCAAAGGGCCGGTCTGCCCGCATTCCAGGGCAAATGCTACAGCTGCGCCCCTCACATTCCCAAACCAACCCTGGGGCACAGGATGGAGGGAGTCCTGGGCCCCCTCATGCCCCCAGTGTAGGGCTGACCCCAGGCCGTAGCTCTGGGGTCCTAGGCTGATGCATGGACACGTGGCACCCAAAAATAAGCTAAAGAGAATCAACGAACCCCTTCTACCTCCACTGTCAACTGGAGTACAGAACAAGTCAGGGGTCTTTTTTAATAGCTTGGCTTCCTCCTACCCAAGCCCTGGCCACTTCTTAGTGTGATAAAGACTGTCAAGACCAGAGGAGCTGGACAGGCACACTGAGAATGAGACAAAGGTCCACCCAGGGTCTCTCAATGTGTGCTAGGGGTCAGAGCTGTGAAGGACCCAGAACTATTCCATTCCCTCCCGCCAGGCTCAGGGAACACAGATGTTAGAACCTGCACAGGGCAATTCTGAGTCACAGACTGCTCAGTGGCTGAGTTGCTTGGCCAGGCTGCTTAACTGCTCTTGTGCCTCAGTTTCCTTTCTGATAAGAATTCCACCATCTGACAGCAGTAAGGATTACATGAAAAAAATGGATATACAGTGCTTGCCTATCACAGCCCCCAGAATAGAGCACACCGCAAACGGGAGGGGAGTTGCTGAAGGAGCTTATTTCCAGAGATGGTCAGCCCTGGAGGAGAAAGAGAGAACACTTCCCCATCCTATCTCACTTCTGAGGCACAGGACACTATAAGCCTGTATTAGAAGTTAGGGGTGCCATTCTGAGGAAAATAGTCATCCTGGAGAAACTTC